TCCAGTTCCCTTTCCCGGGTGTGATTGAAAATGCCGTGTTTTCCCAATTCCTTTTCTTCAGCGTGCACGAAGTGCTGTGTTTTTCCAGTTCCCTTTCTCTTTCCCACTTCCCTTCCAGTTCCCTTCCGGTTCCCTTCCCATTTCCCTTCCCAGTTCCCTTCGCGGATTCCCTATGTTTTTCCAAGGAAAGTGCGTTGCAGACTTTTTTCTTTTAAAAAAGAAAACATTTTTGTTTTTTCTTTAAAACAAGTATGCGTTGCACTTTCCTTGGAAAAACATAGGGAATCCGCGAAGGGAACTGGGAAGGGAACTGGGAAGGGAACTGGAAGGGAAGTGGGAAAGAGAAAGGGAACTGGAAAAACACAGCACTTCGTACACGCTGAAGAAAAGGAATTGGAAAAACACAGCATTTTCGATCACACCCGGGAAAGGGAACTGGAAAAACACGGCATTTTCAATCGCGCCCGGGAAAGGGAACAACAACAAGAAGAAGAAGAACAAGAAGAAGAAGAAGAACAACAACAACAACAAGAACAAGAACAAGAACAAAAACAAGTAGGTAGGACAAACACAGATGTGAAACAGAAAAACGCACTTGCACGATATTTTTCAGTACATCATCATTAAAATCATCCAGAAGTCATCTTCGTCAAAATCTTCATCATCAGCCTTAATTGACCAATTCAAAATGTTCAATGCACGGCTGTCACCTAATTCATATCTTCGTACAATATGTGCTAATGCTGAACAAAAAGTGAAGCTTACCATTCGCTATAGGCTCCTGCTGACCACCAACCCCCCGTACTGTCTCAAGCGTTTATTGTTTCCTAATCTTTTTGCATTTTTTCGCATACGATCCCAAGAACTCAGACATTGCTTTAACAAGTGTCATCACATGTCACCAGTTGTCTGAAAAAGCACGCCCAGTGACAACACCATAAAGGTGGATGATAAGGCCCACCTGCTTGTTCTTGTTCTTGTTCTTGTTCTTGTTGTCGTTGTCGTTGTTGTTGTCGTTGTTGTTGTCGTTGTTGTTGTTGTTGTTGTTCCCTTTCCTGGGCGTGATTGACAATGCTGTGTTCTCCCAGTTCCCTTCTTCCAGTTCCCTTTCCCGGGTGTGATTGAAAATGCCGAGTTTTTCCAGTTCCCTTTCCCGGGCGCGATTGAAAATGCCGTGTTTTTCCAGTTCCCTTTCCCGGGTGTGATCGAAAATGTTGTGTTTTTCCAATTCCTTTTCTTCAGCGTGTACGAAGTGCTGTGTTTTTCCAGTTCCCTTTCTCTTTCCCACTTCCCTTCCAGTTCCCTTCCCATTTCCCTTCCCAATTCCCTTCGCGGATTCCCTATGTTTTTCCAAGGAAAGTGCGTTGCAGACTTCTTTCTTTTAAAAAAGAAAACATTTTTGTTTTTTCTTTAAAACAAGTATGCGATGCACTTTCCTTGGAAAAACATAGGGAATCCGCGAAGGGAACTGGGAAAGGAACTGGGAAGGGAACTGGGAAGGGAACTGGGAAGGGAACTGGAAGGGAACTGGAAGGGAACTGGGAAAGAGAAAGCGAACTGGAAAAACACAGCACTTCGTACACGCTGAAGAAAAGGAATTGGAAAAACACGGCATTTTCAATCACACCCGGGAAAGGGAACTGGAAAAACACGGCATTTTCAATCGCGCCCGGGAAAGGGAACTGGAAAAACACAGCATTTTCAATCACGCCCAGGAAAGGGAACAACAACAAGAAGAAGAAGAAGAAGAACAACAACAACAAGAACAAGAACAAGAACAAAAACAAGTAGGTAGGACAAACACAGATGTGAAACAGAAAAACGCACTTGCGCAATATCTTTCAGTACATCATCATTAAAATCATCCAAAAGTCATCTTCGTCAAAATCTTCATCACCAGCCTTAATTGACCAATTCAAAATGTTCAATGCACGTCTGTCACCTAATTCATATCTTCGTACAATATGTGCTAATGTTGAACAAAAAGTGAAGCTTACCATTCGCTATAGACTCCTGCTGACCACCAACCCCCCGTACCGTAGATGGACGAATTATTCGAACCCTTATACATAGAGCAACCCCCCTCACCCCAAATATCAATGTTTTCTTCTTGTTTGGTTCGTTCCTTTGAGTGGACGAAATAAATCAAACCCCCAGAGCAGGAACAGCGCTACGAAACCATAACATTGAAATTCGGGGGAGGTAGGGGGTGGCCTATAACTCATGGATAGGGGTTTGAATAATTTGTCCATCTACTGTAGGATGTGAACCCGTCTTATCCAAAGGGTTTTTGGATCGATCAGCATCATGTCCAGCACCCATTCACCCGCCGGTGCTGGGACCATGGCCAGTGGTGTGCCCAAGCCAGGGGCATTTGTCACACCACAGGCTGGGTATGGGGGTCAAAACCTTACAGTGCAACAATTCTTTGACCCATCAACCTACAGGGGGAAAATGGTTGGCTTGGCTCCAATGGCACCTTCAGAAAAAATGTCAGACCTTACACCTGAGAACATTAAGAAATTCTTCGACCCACAAACATACCATGGGAAAACAGTTGGTTTACCGCCCATGGCCCCCTCAATATCATTGACTGGGTTGAGGAAAGAACACATGAACACATTTTTTGCTGGGAACACACACCATGGATATCATCGCTGCCTGCAGAAACGACCTGCAGAAGCAGTGAGTCACCCAGCCAAAATGAGCAAGCTGGAGTTGCTGGAGAAGTTGAAGTTAGCTGCCGAGTTAAACGGAGTGTGTTGGAAAGACATCGCAGTAGCCCACATTTGCATTAGCTGTTTTTGCAAATGGTTTTAATGCCAAAAAAGGTATTAGTAAACTGTTCTTGTCAACTCCATATCGCCAAAATCCAACATAGACAATTTTCGGGTTTAGGCACCAAAAAAGAATCAAAACGGACACCTTAAAGGAAGAACCCATAAGTACTTCAAACCCCTATGTTTTTTTTTTTAATGTATATATATGTATATATGTATATATGTATGTATGTATGTATGTATGTATGTACGTATGTAGGTATGTATGTATGTATGTAGGTAGGTAGGTATGTATGTATATATGTATGTATGTATGTATGTATGTACGTATGTAGGTAGGTAGGTATGTATGTATGTATGTATGTACGTATGTAGGTAGGTATGTATGTATGTATGTATGTATGTATGTATGTATGTATGTATGTATGTATGTATGTATGTATATATGTATGTATGTATGTATGTATGTATGTACGTATGTATGTATGTATGTAGGTAGGTATGTATGTATGTATGTACGTATGTATGTATGTATGTACGTAGTAGGTAGGTAGTAGGTAGGTAGTACGTATGTTAGGTAGGGAGGATGTATGTATGTATATATGTATGTATGTATGTATGTAGTACGTATGTATGGTAGTATGTTGTAATGTAGTATTTATTGTAGTATGTAGGATAGGTATGATGTATGTAGTGGATGGATTTACGTACGTATGTTAGTAGGTATGTATGGAATGTACGTACGTACGTCGGTTATGTATGTAATGTAGTAATGAGTAATGTATGTAATGAGTAAGGTATGGAATGTAGGTATGGATTAATTAGGTAAATGTATGTCATGTATGTCATGTATGTGCAGGTATGTCATGTATGTATGTATGTAGTAAGTATTAGGTATGTATGTCGGATGTATGTATCTATCTATCTATCTATGTAATGGTATGTATGTATGTATGTATGTATGTAATGTAATGTAATGTAATGTAATGTAATGTAATGTAATGTAATGTAATGTATGTATGTATGTATGTATGTATGTATGTATGTATGTATGTATGTATGTATGTATGTATGTATGTATGTATGTATGTATGTATGTATGTATGTATGTATGTATGTATGTATGTATGTATGTATGTATGTATGTATGTATGTATGTATGTATGTATGTATTTATGTACGTATGTAGGTAGGTATGTATGTATGTATGTACGTACGTATGTATGTATGTAGGTATGTATGTATGTATGCATGTATGTATGTATGTGTGTATGTGTAATCAAGATGCAACCAGCGATTGACGCATTTGAGTGCATTGATGGTCATTTTTTCCTGCCAGCGTTTGTGATCAGCCCACATGTCAGCTTGCACCCAGCTAGCCAGCGTTGGACTGAGTTGCCGCTTTGGACATCTGACCTCCCATGTGATTCTGCTGTAATCTACTTCGATGGATCATGCCACAAATCAGCAGACTGTGCTGGACTTGCGGTTGCTGCATTTGCTTTGTGCGGTGGAGACTGGTTCCAGGCCGGTATGATTTCTGCCAAACTCAGTCAAGCAGACTCCTACTATGCAGAAGTCGCAGCAGCCATGGTGGCGATTAAATTCGCACATGATCTTCTTAAGATCATCCTGCTTAGACAGGTTACACCTTGTGAAGTCTGGCTTGGATATGACTCTTTGACAGTAGGCAAGCAGATGAGTGGTGAATGGCAAAGTCAGATGCGTCCAACTGAGGTCAGCCTGCTGAGGAGCCTTTCTCGACTTGTGACGGCACGCTTTGGCACCCAAATCTCATCATGGCATATTCCGAGTCACCAAGGAGAGCCTGGCAACGAACTCGTTGATGCCCTTGCGTATACTGCTGCTCATGAAGGAGGTACGCACGATGTGACACATTTCTTCAACCATATCACACAGGCCAGTTTTGCAAGTGCAATGGAATGGGCATGGATGCTGTTTGACCGGGCCTTTCGAGAGCAATGGTCCGCCAACTGTTTGAGCTTCCCTAGACAACCGGCCACTACCCCTAGTGCCCAGGTTTCCCCACCAGGAATGCATTCTGGCACACATTCTTACCCCGATGAAGCAGAATATAACCCTAAATTCAGTCTCCATTTGGGGTCTTGCAACGTTCTTACTTTGAAAGGAGCCGATTGCAAGTCATGGGGCCTTGAAGGGATTGCCAGACAAGATTCCATTTTGGAGCAATTCCATCAAATGAAGTACAATGTCGTTGCTCTGCAAGAGACCAGATTACGCAAGCTCCACCGTGCACATGATGCAAGATATGTTCTTGTCAAGAGTGCTGCTTCAACTTCTGGTTGCTATGGAATCCTTCTTGGCTTCAGCAAAAGTCACCCTCATGGTTGGTTGCCTGGCACCACATCGGAACATGGTAAACCAGTTTATTTCTCTGACTCACATCTGTCAATAATTGCCGCTGAACCACGGTATTTGATTGTACGTGTGTGCACTCCGGTGCTTCGTGGGATTTTTATTGCTGCGCATGCCCCACATACAGGTCACACGGATGATGAAGTCAAAGAGTGGTGGCAAAGACTGGGCTCACTTATTCCTGCAAAATATGATGACTGGCCTAGGGTGCTTTTGTGTGACGCAAACGCACGTATCGGAAGTATCCCACATGAATGTGTTGGAGATTTTCAAGCTGAGGTTGAGAATAGTAAATCTGAAGCATTCCGAACATTTGTCAGTGAACAGGGACTGTGGCTGCCAAGCACCTTTGAAGCTTTTCAGATTGGAGATGGAGGTACTTGGTTACACCCATCTGGGAAGTGGAACCGAAATGATTTTATTGGGCTGCCAGTTCATTGGAGACTCACCTCTTGCAAGGCTTTTGTTGAGGATGCCATCGATGTATCCACTCTGAAGGAAGACCATCGCCCTGTTGCTGTCACAATTGAAGGACGAGGAAGGAGCACCTCAAGGACACCTCGAATTAGGACTGAGAAGTTCACAGATGCACATGTGGCAGCCATTTCGTCTGCTGCTTTTCACTGGATTGAGCGTCCTGACCTTCAGACTGATGTGCACACGCATGCTTGGCATCTTGAGCGACAACTCTTGGATACCTTGAGACCTGAGATTACCACACCGAGGCGGCTTCCGCGAAAACCAAGCATGTCAGCTGGAACTTGGAAGCTAGTGTGTGACAAAAAAATGTGGCGCAAGCATCTTTGGGAGGCCCGACACCTCCAACGACGCACTATCTTGCAAGCGTGTTTCCACAGTCTCCGACATCATGAGCAGTGGCCAGAACATGAAGACGAATGGGCGAGTCTGCAGCCCTTGGTTCGCCAACATGATCTTTTAATTGCCCAAGCTATGTACCAACACAGTTGGATCTGCAATCAAGTTGTTAAGGCAATGCGTAAAGATGATGTGATTTTCTTCCATAACATCGCTGCTGAAATCGGCCAATTTGTGGGTCCCCAGCAAGCGAAAGAATTGTGGAAAACGGTCCGTAGGTCACTGTCCAAGTTCCGACAAAGGAGAATGCAAACCCCCCCGGAACAAATTGAAACACTGGAAGATCAATGGCACCCTTATTTTCAGCAACCAGAGACAGGATGTCCAACCTCACCAGAGGAATTGCTGCAAGACTGCCATGCGACACAGTTGGCATGCGGAGGTGTCCTTACCGAATGTGATCTGCATGAGCTCCCTACCCTGCAACAAGTTGAAGACGTGTTCCGCCAGACCCAGAAAGGGAAATCAACTGGAATGGATCCAGTCGCCTCAGGTCTATTTCATGCCTTCCCGGTTGAAACAGCGAGACTCTTCTATGACTTGATCCTCAAAGTTTTTCTCTGGCAGGCGGAACCAATGGCCTACAAAGGATGGATTATGGCTGTTATACCAAAGCGAATTGGAGCTACATCTGCAAATCACTTCAGAGGGATTATGCTTCTCCCATCAGTTGCCAAACGAATCCATGCGTTGCTGCGACAACGCACCGTTCAATTGATTGAACGTATCAGGCCCCCGGGCCAGATAGGGGGATTCCAACACCAACAGGTTGGATTTGCCTCACAAGCACTCAGGACCTTTTGCCGTATTGCGCACCACAGAGGCTTTAGCACTGGTGTTCTCTTTGTTGACCTTTCCAACGCATTCCACAGATTAGTTCGTGAATTGGTTTGCGGAACCCAATCACCAGCTGACACTGACGCTGTTGTTGCAGCGATTGAGGAGGGCCATGGCCGGAATTCTGGGCTGTGTGCTTGGCTAGCCCTGCCTGGGCTCTTGGAAAGATTGGGAGCTTCACCATTGCTTGTTCAATTGCTTCGAGAAGTCCACACCAACACGTGGCATATGATTGCGCATCTCCCAGGCATCACCAAAACCAGACGAGGTACCAGACCTGGAAGCCCATTAGCTGACATTATCTTTCATGTGTTGATGCTGGATATTATTGTCGAGCTGAATGAGTGGATTTTGGGCCAAGCGGATTTTGATTCAATTGTTTGGAGTGATGACCTTGCAATTCCCTGGTGCACCAACCATGCAGAGGAACTGGTGCCTGCATTGGGCACGTTGCTCTCCACTGTCCACAAGATTTTCCATCGCAGAGGATTTGACCTCAATATGGACAAGGGAAAGATTGGAGTGGTACTTACCTTTCAAGGCAAGAACGCACGCCAGCAACGGCGTCAATACCTACTTTGCAATCCGAGTGGATTTAGTTGCAAGCTTCCCTCAGGTGTCCATCAATGGCTTCATGCCACGGCTACATACCGCCATTTGGGAACACAGTTTGCTTCTAAGCTGGATTTTGCGGAAGAAATGAAGCACCGAATAGGGCAAGCCTCTGCAGCCTTTAGTGCTATGAGGAAACCTGTCCTTTGTAATCGGCATTTACCGCTCCAAACCAGACTGCGGCTTTTTCAGGCACTTGTTGGCACAAAATTTTATTTTGGATTTGGGGCCTGGTTCACCCCAAGGCAGAGCCAACTGATTGCCATGCGGAAAGCACTTGCACATTTTCTGCGTTGCATCCTACTTGCGGGCCATGGGCAGACAGATAAGCGACCATCTGATTACCAAGTTTTAGTTTTGACTGAACACCTTGACCCCCGCATTCGACTGGCCCAAGATCGCCTACTGTTTGCGCACAAGTTGTTCCAATTTGGCCCTGCCTTTGCCCAACATGTTTTGCAGATTGAATTTCAAGAGATGCAAACGTCTTGGTTGAGCGGTCTCTTTGCTGATTTGAAGTGGCTTCACTCTGTTTTGCCAGATAGTGTTCCGGAATGCTGGACTTCAAATCTCACTGATGCCATCGAATATTGGCAAAAGGGTGCACCCGGATGGAAGGCCATTATCCGACGTGCAATCAAAAAGCATCTGATGCAGGAGTCCATGATGCAGGAGGTTCAAGACTGGCATAGGAAATTTTTCCGAACGCTTGAGAAACATCACGCTACGTTTTGCCCATCCTACTTTGGTTTGCATGTTGGTGAGCATGAATTCCATTGCTCTTGTGGTCGAGCGTTCACGACAGCGCAGGGCCTCGCCACCCACAGGCGTAAGGCCCATGATGTATTCTCTTTGGAACATGACCTTCTCACGGGGGCTACTTGTCCAGTCTGTCTGCGACACTTCTGGACTACCCAAAGATTACAGCAGCATCTGTCTTATATTTCGAGGAAAACAGGACGGAATGCATGTTACCAGACTCTTCGTAAAACTGGGTACTCTGCTGTATACGAGAGAGCCGTTGTTCCAGGGCACTTGCAGGGAGTGAACAGGCTAGAACCAATTCGTAGTGAAGGCCCAACACCTTGCTTTGCACCCCAAATAGCCCAGCAGATTGAGCAATGGAAAGCTGAAGTCCATTGTATACAATTGCAGTTGCAAACCATACAGAGCCCTGAGGACCTTGAAGCAGCCACCCGCCAATTGCAGGAAGGGCTGACCCAGGTAACGCTGAAGTGGTTTGAGGAGTTTTGCAATTGTTCATTTGATTGCTCAGCTGTCGGCCCTTTGGAGGATAGATGGTTTGACTATTTGATCACATGGCCTGATGAGTATGATGACTGGTATGGGGATGGTCTCCTGGTTTGGGGACGAGATGTCTTGCCAGACGTCACAGCCACCTTCATGGACGGAGAAGCTGAACAGTTTGCAGACGAAGCCTTTTACACAGTGACTTCCGATATGCCGAGAGCACAGATGCGTGATCGACTTGCCTTTCTACAACAGTGCATTGATAGGGGCAACGAAGAGTTGACTCAAGATGTTCCACACCGATCCAGGTATGTTGAAAGACAACTTACTCAAGCCAGGAAACCTGCAGAGTCTGGAGATCAGATCACTACTTTGTTTCAGCAGCAGACTGCATGGCATGATGAGGTGCGAGCAATTAAGTGGGAATTTATGCCACCGGATGTCAAGGTCCCTTTGATGGATGGCATTTTGCAACGACCCACTTTCTTGATTGTCCACTTGTTTAGTGGCCGGAGGCGCGAGCAAAATGTACATTGGCACCTTGCGCAAATGGCAGATGCACGAGGCATGGACATTGCTGTGATTTCCATGGACACTGCGGTGTCAGCCCATTTTGGTAACCTTGAGTCCCATTCGGATTCCTGGTGCCGACTTGTGCAGCTTTATGAGAAGGGGTATGTCGCTGCAACGATATGCAGCGCACCCTGTGAAACCTTCTCAGCAGCTCGACATGTGGCACCACCGGCCGATTTGCCTGAAGCTGAGAAACATCGCTGGCCTAGACCGCTCCGGTCCTTTGCCCAACTGTTTGGACTCAGTGATTTGCGGCCGAAGGAACTCCGACAATGCAAACAGGGGAGTGCGTTTATGCTCCAAGCGACGATGGTCTGCATTTGGCATGTTGTTTTTGGTGGTCTCTTTCTTAGTGAGCATCCTGCTCCACCAGGGGATGATTCGAAAGCTTCTATTTGGACGAGTGCTATCATCTGCCTTCTTCGCGATCACCCGGATATACAACTCCAACTGTTTGACCAATGGCGATGGGCGGCAGTCGTTAGGAAACCGACTGGACTACTTGGTCTAAGACTTCCCAAACTACTTGTATTGATCCTTTGGCAAAATATCCGCAACAGACGGCTATCGGAAAGGACGAGTTCGGGAAATTTCGCACAGCGGTTTGTAAAGAGTATCCGCCACACTTTTCAGCTGGCATGGCACGGGCCATTATCGACCAATTGTGCACAGAAGTTCGAAATGGTTCCCGACGCAGCTGTGAATTCGATTTTGAGGAGGGCCCCTTGCGTAATTGGCTGCGTGAAGCTCTGCGTGAGAGCTCAGTGATCTGGGCGAATAGCTCGTTCATGCCAGACTACCAAGGGCAATGAGCCACCTCTCTGCATAGGTTTTCTCTAATTAGGAATGTTGCAAGAGGCAACAAGAGCGAGACTCTTTGACGCCAGGAAAATGGAAAAAATGTGTGTAAGTATGTATGTATGTAATGTAATGTAATGTAATGTAATGTAATGTAATGTAATGTAATGTAATGTAATGTAATGTATGTATGTATGTATGTATGAATTTATTTATGTCCATATGCATATGGATCCACTGGGTAGAACATGTTGTCCCTCTCAAACATACCAACATTTTGAGGAGCCCCACCACCTCTGATGGTTGTCACCGATATGGGAATCTCTCAAGAATAATTTCAAAGTGGAGGTGACCCAATCTTTTTGTAGTTTAAAATAGGCTTGTGGCGCCCGATAACATACCCTATTCTGAGACATCCCCATATGCGAGCATCCTATAAATTTTGCTGAATTTTGATGTTGTTTTTTCTTGCCTGGGTAGTTTTATGAAAATCTTACCAGCAAACTCTGAGGGTTGTTGGTTATGTATTTTTGTCATTTTTTTTTGTCATTTTTTTGTCATTTGGTTTTGCATTTTTTTGTCATTCCTGTTTTGTGGTGTCATTTTTTTGTCATTTTTTTGTCATTTGTTAAGTCATTTTTTTGTCATTTGTTAAGTCATTTTTTGTCATTTTCTTGTCATTTTTTTGTCGTTTTCTTGTCGTTTTCTACTTTCTAGCATTGTTCATTTTCTTGTCGTTTTCTCATAAGGATCAGGCAAGCGGTGAAGGTGGCAAACCCGGTCTAGGAAATGCAAAAAATTGCAAAAAATGACTCCCGGTTTGGGAAATGCAAAAAAAATGCCAAAAAAATGACTCCCAGTCTGGGAAATGCAAAAAAAATGCAAAAAAAATGACTCCTAGTCTGGGAAATGCAAAAAAAAATGCAAAAAAAATGCAAAAAAAAATGCAAAAAAAAAATGCAAAAAAATGCGAAAAAAATGCAAAAAAATGCAAAAAAATGCAAGAAAAATGCAAAAAAATGCGAAAAAAATGACTCGCGTGCTGGTAAAGTTGCGTTTTTGGAGTTTCCAGGTCGGCCCCGCTTCTCGGGCCTGAGCCGCCCCCCCGGGCCATTTCACCCCGGCCCCGCCCCCCCACCCGGTTTTTGAGCCGGCCCTGCACCCCGAGCCGGGAGACAACTCCTCGTCCAGGCAGGCCCAAAAACGAATTCCCCAGGGCAAGCTCCCCTGCCCTATCCTTCTTCACCGCCGGCTGGCTTTCCAAGAGTTTCTCCACTTGTTCCTTGTATTTGGTGCTGCCGCGAGATAACAAAAGGTCTGTCATGGTAGTCATTTTTAAACAATGTTTTTTTCTCCATTTTCCCGTTCCCAAAATGACAATAAAATGACAATAAAATGACAAACAAATGACAAAAAAATGACACAGAAATGACAAAGACATGACAAAAAAATGACAAAAAATGACAACACAAATCCAAAATGACAAACCCAAATGCAAAAAAAATGCAACAAAAATGCAAAAAAAATGACAAAATAATTATTTTGGAATTTCCAATGTTTGCAGGCCCAAGATTTTCCTAAGGGTAGTTATTGGGGATGTCTGGAATGCAGGTTCAGCTAAAATAATTTTGATCATCATCAACTGTGAAAAACCATTATTCTTACCCTCACCTCTCTTTTGTGAAACTACCCATTGCTGCGTCCCCTATTGGGCTATCCATTACAGACCTGGGTTAAAGAATATTAGCTCACCATTTGGTAGATGGTATAATCCCCTTCTGAAAATTGTGTTGCCCCATCTTAGGCAGAGATCTCGACGGCATCTGGGTCTTCGACGTCGGGGGATGATATCACCACGATTCCTGGCCCGGTGGATGAGGAGCTTGCAGCTCTAGAGAAAGAGGTGGATGGCGAGTTTACCAAAATGATGGCAGTGGAGGAGAAGGGACACCCATCTGAGCGAAAGCCGTGTGAGAAGGCTACGCCTCCACATCCTAGCCTAGCTGGGATCTCCAAGTCAAGCCCAGTATCGAGCCCCGAGCCCAAGTCCGATGTCACTGGAAACTTAGCTTCTGGGATGGATGATCTGTTACCAAGTGAACTCTATGATCCCGAAGTTGAATCAAAAGTGGCTGACCGGTTTTCCAAGATGAGTGATGATGAGTTTTCAAAACTCCTCAAAACTGCAGAGTTTCACCCAGACTTTGCAACCTATGTTCGCGGTGTCAAGGTGGAGCTAGGATCTGATGATGATGTCGAATGGATGTTTGGGAGGGATGGCCATATGAGGATTTGCTTGGCTTCCATGTTTGGTGCATCTGTCGGGAACATCTTCGGGAGAGGTTCGGGTTGGGGAAAGCAGAAGCACCAGCCAAGCCAGCAAGCATCCCGTTGCACACACAAGTCCCCCCGCCAGCAAAGCACCCAGCCATTCCAGCCCCACCCGCCACAATGGCTGAACCCCATCCTGCCCTGAAGCCACCGCACACCGGACAGAGCTCAGCAGCAAAGGCTTCTGTTTTAGTGCACCCTGCACTGACCTCTGCCCCAGCACCTCCTACAATCCCACAGCCTGGAACAATGTTTTTCCCAGAGGCTTCGTCTGAGACTTCAGTCCCACCAGTGCCAGCTGAGACTTCGCTCCCAGCGCCAAAGCACCTTGCAGCCGAGACTTTGCAGCCGAGACTTCGGTCCCACCAATGCCAAAGCAACCTGCAATGGCACTGAGACTTCGATAGTTCCAGTGCCAAAGCAGCCTGCAATGGCACTCTGGTTGTCATGGGCCTTCCCTGCTCAACCTTCAGCAAAGCAGGTCCAGCACACCCAGGTGTGCCCAACCCACCACCTGCTTCAGGTTTGTCTGAGAGGGTGGACAAAGCAATTTTGGAGGTGCCGAAGGAGGAAGTCAAGCCTACATCAGCCACCCACAGGAACGAGTACATGGCCTATTTGCGTGCAGCTCGCAACCCTTCGAAGTTGCCTCCTGCACTTCGATCGACATTTGCAGCTGTTGGCGCACAAAGGCTGGACCTGTTCCAGCTGTGGATGGAAAAGAGCAAAGACTTTTCGTTGGTGGAGATCGAGATCCAACGTCGCAATGTCCAGCGGCAAACGGCTACAAGCCGAAATTTGTGCCTGAGCAGAGCCCAGCTACTTGCCAGTGGCAGGTACACTGAAGATGATGTCAACGATTTGATTCGGCGTCGGACTGAGTCTGGTGCTTTCATACCAGACCCAAACTTTCCAGACCGCATCGACCTTCGGCAGTACCTTGTGAATGCTGAGACTGCTGCTGAGAATGCACGGGTGCGAGAGGATTCCCAGGCCATTAAAGGGTGAACGGCAGCATCTGCAGCTGAGGCCATCTCCTTGACAGAGGACGGTGCTGACTTTTCAGTGCATGCCGCCCCGACTGTCAGATCCCTCACTGCCGAGCTGTCCGGGCTTGAGCACCCACCCCAAGAGCACAACCAGCTGCAGCCAGACGCCAAAGCAAAGGCCAAGGCCAAACCACGAGCAAAACCCAAGGCTGGGAAGGGCAAGGGGGGGAAAGGTAAGGCAGCAGGTGCAGAGGGTGAGGATGGGCCAGCACCAGACAAGGTGCCCACAGCTTTGGAAAAGGCGACTGCCCTGAAATCCAAAGTGTTCCTTGTTTGGTCATATATTTCCTTTCAACCCCAAAATAAGACAAATAAGCATATGTTTTTCAATCATTCTATCATTTATACGGGTGTAGCCTTTTATGGGGTGTCGAGCTTTGCAACTGAGTTACCACACCAATGAGTTACATACCAGTAGTACCGCACAAGGCGGTGGCGGAAGTTTCAAAAATAGGAAACCTATAATGCCAACACCGGATTAATAACCCCCCCTAATAGAATTCCATTGGATTTGTTAAAATTTCATGGACCAGAAAGGTGATTGATTAATCAGGGGCAAACCATGGTTATTATTACTGGGGGACATGGGCTCATGGGGGGTACCCTTTGGGAGCTATCCAAACTGATATTTTTTTTTATAAATATTTTAATTAGAAATCGATCATTTGGGGAATAGTTGTTTTTTGAAATTTTCAATGATCAACTTAAACCTGAAGTATAACAATGATGATTAAAAAAAGGTAAAAAAAAACAATTGGAAATAAATAGAATTGGAAATAAAAAATGTTGGATAAAAAAATGGATTTCCGAAGTGGTTGTTGATTAATTGGGGGGTAGGCCAAAAACATTATTAATCTGGGGGGACCACCTGTTTTTAAATTACATTTTTTTTTGGGGCAGTTGCTGCTGATTAATCGGGAGGGCATTATTAATCCTCACTTGACATTAGGAGAGATTGGCTGTTGTGAATCAGGGATGGCAGAGCGAATCCACTGATGGAGCGACAGGTCTCTTCTCTTTCTCTCTCTCTCTCTCTCTTTCTTTCTCTTTCTCTGATTATTCTACCTACCTACCGATCTATCTATCTATCTAGCTATCTATCTATCTTTCTTTCTTTCTATCTATCTATCTAGCTATCTATCTATCTATCTATCTTTCTATCTATCTATCTATCTATCTATCTAGGTAGTGTAGCGTAATGTAGTGAAGTGTAGTGGAGGGTAGTGCAGTGTAGTGGAATGTAGTGTAGTGTAGTGGAGTGTAGTGCAGTGTAATGTAGTGTAGTGTAGTGTAATTTAGTGTAGTGGAGTGTAGTGGAGTGTAGTTGTGTAGTTGTGTAGTTGTGTAGTTGTAGTGTTGTGTAATGTAGTGTAGTGTAGTGGAGCGTAGTGTAGTGTAGTGTAGTGTAATATCCTGTAGTGTAGTGTATTGAAGCGAAGCGACATCTGAACCTCCAAAAGTGGTCCGAACCCCTGGTGCTTTGCACATTTTTACTTCGAAATGTCCTTCGCGCCACAACGGCGTGCACTTTTTCGACATCCGAACCTCCAAAAGTGGCGCGAACAAGTGGTGTTTTGTACATTTTGACTTGGAAATGTGCTTCGCGCCACAACGGCGTGCACTTTTTCGACATCTCAACTTCTAAAAGTGGTCCGGAGCTGGTGTGTTTTGAACATTTTGACTTCAAAATGTGCTTCGCGCCACAACGGCGTGCACTTTTTCAACATCTCAACTTCCAAAAGTGGTCCGAGAATGGTGTGTTTTGTACATTTTGACTTGGAAATGTGCTTCGCGCCACAACGGCGTGCACTTTTTCGACATCTCAACTTCCAAAAGTGGTCCGACCTGGTGTGTTTTGTACATTTTGACTTGGAAATGTGCTTCGCGCCACAACGGCGTGCACTTTTTCGACATCTCAACTTCCAAAAGTGGTCCGAACATGGGGTGTTTTGTACATTTTGACTTGGAAATGTGCTTCGCGCCACAACGGCGTGCAATTTTTCATCACTCATCTGGCCAGCTGGCTCCGCACCCGCCGCTTTAGCGAGCCTACTTTTGACCCCTAGGACCTCCGGAGCCACAAAACATTGGAAAAACACAGTCTTTCGCGATTTTCCTACCATTTTCGCGCATCTGCATCTTCCTTCTTCTTACTATTTCTCTTCTACTCTTCTTCCTTCTAATCTTCCTTTATCTCTGCCTCTTCCCTGCTCTGCTTTCATCTGTCCATATTGTTGGAAGATGACCCATGCCTTAAACTTAAGAATTATTCCAGGGTATCAACTAGGTTATGGAATAATTTCTTTTGGAATAATTTTCAAGGAATAAATTTTGAGGGGGGTAGGTATACGATTATGCATGTTGGAATTTGAAAATCATGATCCAGCCTGTCAAGATACCCTGGAATAATTAGGTTTTGGAATAATTTTTGGTAACTTAAAACATCTTAAAACATCTTCAAACAGCCTATACGTCCTACATGTAGCCTGGCCTTTCCAAAAGCCATTCCTGGCTTGGCGGTGTTTGCCTGAAAACTTTTTGCTGGAAATGCCAATTGCAGTTATTTATAGCATCATGCAGTTTGTGCAATTGCTGCCAACCTTTTTTTGCAGCGTACTTGCACGCACAACTAGTGTCCAACGGACCACCTTTCTCTCACGGTACTTTCTCTCGAGAGTTCTTTGGGTGGCAATGAATAGGGAATGTTAAGAAAATACCTAGGAAAAGGCCAGGTTGAGTGCCATTGTGTGGGCTTTCCCAAGGGGGGAAATTATTCTAGGGGTATTGGAGATGCCTGGTACCCCTCAAAAACGAAAGTGGACAGCTAATCACCAAATTAGCCCAGAAATTGGCAAGAATTGTCAAAAAAACAAATGAAACCCACACATTTCCCACCCATTCCCACTATGGCCAACGGGAGTTTTTTGGAAGGAAATGAAAGGAATATGGAAGAAATAGGGGGGCGTACGCAAAGTTGGAAAAACTTGCAGGAGAGAGCCAGGTTGAGTGCCATTTTGTGGGCTCCCAGGGGAGAAATTATTCTAGGGGTATTGGAGATGCCTGGTACCCCTCAAAAACGAAAGTGGACAGCTAATCACCAAATTAGCCCAGAAACTGGCAAGAATTAACAAAAAACAAATGAAACCCAAACATTTCCCACTCATTCCCATTATGGCCAACGGGACTTTTTTTGGAAGGAAATGAAGGGAATATGGAAGAAATAGGGGGGCGTACGCAAAGTTAGGAAAACTTGTAGGAGAGAGCCAGGTTGGGTGCCATTTTGTGGGCTTTCCCCAGGGAAGAAATTATTCTAGGGGTATTGGAGGTGCCTGGCACCCCTGAAAAACAAAAGGGGGCAGTTGCTACAATCACACAACAAATCCAGAAATTGGCAAAAAAATAAACCAGTGACAACCAAATATTTTCCTTTTCCCACTCATTCCCACTAAGGCCAGAACCACCAAACTAACCCAGAAACTGGAAAAACATCCAAAACCAATTAAAACCATGTTCAACCAGTGGGTTGCTGAGAGGACATTTGTTTAATGATACTATGCTGACTCTTCTTGATCCTATCTGATTATGTTGAAAATTGTTTAAATTTGTGCCCCAGCTCTGCAAGAAGGGGAACCGTTTTCGGCCGTTTGCGCGCAGCTGCTTACGATTACTTGCGTTTGGCTAGAAATAGACTATACCGGTATCATTTTGATGGAAATTATTCCATTTTTCCATATGGACTCATTGAGTTCTTAGAATAATTTATTTTTTTGAACTCAACGGATGCCGGAATAATATTTTTATTATTCTGAGGTATGTTGACGGGGGTATCCCCTTAAGGCATCCCTTATGTCGGAAGTTTGACTTCTAAACTTCCTTCGATTATGTGACATAACCCCATCCAGATTTTCACACTTTGTTTGCTAAGGCTGAAGGAAGCTGAGGAAGCGCGTACGCTTTGCGTGTCCATTGAGGGGCTCGAATGCAGTGGTGATTTGGTGGCGGCATTGACCCAACACTCTCAGTCAATGCTTGGGGTGTACCGCGATTTGAACAAGCTGACCGTTGCTGGTGTGGATGACGAAGCATCCTACGCCAATCTTTTCCATTACGCCAGCACATACAGTGCGTGGTATGCCAAGCGCAAACGCGTGGCCAACAGCATGAAGGCTGCAGCGTCCACCATGGACTGATATGATCTTTTGGGTGGTTTCCGTGCCCCCCCCAAAAATATGGCTCCCACTGAAATTGTCATGGTCAAAACTGGGGGCAACCGCTGTGCCATGGAGGTCTCACAGCCCTGCTGACTTGGCCGTCCAGAAATTTTGATGTGGGTATCTGGGTATGTGATACAGGCTTCACATGTTGTTGATTTAATTCAATTCCATTAAAGCATTGGCTCATGTCTTGTTAATCAAATTCAAAATCAAGTATCTTGTAGACATTGCAATCATTGGGGCCTGTATCTTAGAGATCTTGCGAAAGAAGGTTGCAGACCATAGGTCCCTAGTCGGGCATCGGGCTGCGCATCTGGTCGAAAATGGGTGGGAATGGCCTATTTTATGTCTCGATCTATGGTGGGATGTTTTACAGCGGGGTGTGATTACCACCAAAAATTGGATTCAGATTTGTCACATAGGTTTTAACCAATCAACCCTCTAAAAGATATTGTGGATGGAAGAAACCCTGCACCAGCTGGTACCTTTTTTGGTATATAATGATAGAACATGGTAAACTTTGGAAAGTTATAAAGGGACATAACCATTGAGCAACTGGTGCAGGATTTCTTTCATCCACAATAGGGTTCCATCTACCCCTGTAGAAACTGTTTCATACTAAGAATAATTGTGGGATATCACCTTGTGGCCAAATATGTTGAGGATGATTCTTACCCCTTTAAACACCTGCCGCTGCCAGGCCGTCCTTTCAAGCGACAAAGAGTTTCAGAGCCTGACAGCGAACTCGCCAGGGAGATGCTGTGGGATGTTTCTCGTGGAGACCCTTGTTCATGGTTGACTTATGTTGAAATCGGTCCTTTAGAACGCAAACTTTTCCACCAAAAAAGGGTTGGAGTGATTGTGTGCACCTAAAGCATGGTTGCTGTTGATAAGGTCTAATAGGGCTACAATTTATAAGCCCCCATGGGATAATCTATACAATATCATAAGTAGTATTTTTTGGTACCTCCTGTATGTGGGTGTTTTCAAACGGCCCCCAAATAGCTGGCTATAGTGAGGATAGATTTGGGATAGCGCATTAGGGAGCTTTGTGAATATAGAAATATTTTTTAGTTGGTGATCCTTGCTAATCTCAAGAACTGAGGAGCTTCATGTCAAAGCGATGCAACGCTATGCACTAGCAGCTCACAGGGATGGACTTGATAACACCACCATCAAAACATTAGCTTCTTTGGCAGCTTGGGGACGTCATCAATCCAACAGCGAACGGGATTTCCACAGAGTCATCCCCTTTCTTTACAACAGCGAATTTCCAACATACAATATTTCGGTGGATATCTTTGACCCTGACGAAGGCATTGTCAAACCCATAGAGGTTCCAGTGTTGCTGGCGTCAACAGTACTTCACAAGATCCACAAGAAAGACAACAAGACTTTGTGGGATTGTTGTATTGGGGCTACAGCTGACAAGACCCACCAGTTCTGGACCGCTTTCCGCAGTGACCGGGGGACCTCTCCATGGAAGCATCCGGTCTTGGAGACACTTGGTGTCAGTGAATGATTTTCCCACATCGGTTCCAAAGATGTATGTTCCTGTATTCCCCACGAAATTATTTTTTTAAGGTTTGTCAGGTATAAGGTAAAAGCCGCTGTGGGAAAATCATTCACTGGCTGCTGCAAGGTCGAACCTTGAAGCAGAGTCGATCCCAGTGGCTTGGTGGGCTTGGGGCATTTAAGATACCTAAAAACTTTTGAATTCAAATCTTTCCTCCAAAATCTTGGAATATATATATATATTGTTTGGTGGAGGTAGTATATGTTGGGGAAATATGTCTTCAATTTCGGATCGTAAATTCAAAAATGTTTTGAAAATCTGGGGGTATATATTTATATGTACATATGTTTGTTGGGGCTATAGGGATACTTGTGGGAAATATGTTTCCAATTTTGAATCATACACCGAATGACCCATGAACAAATAATGATGCTGATGCCCCAGACTTTAAGCTGTTAAGATCTAATTTCAAAGGTTTTTTCCATGAAACCTATTTGTAGGTCAAATGGTTTACCGGTGGAGCGGAGTTCAACACCAACCATGAAATGCTGATATGGCTTTGGTCCAGCACAATGGCAGAAACGAACTACAGCACCAAGTTCCCATTTGCAGCCCTTCGAATGCGATGGTTTCCAACAAAAGAGCTACGCAGAAAAGCCAACAAAGCTGTCGTTGAGGTTATTGCTTGGGATAGCGCCCTGTTTTGAAATGTTTTGAATTCAGTTATATGCAGCACCCGCAAACTCGTTTGCACAAATGAAGATTTCCCATGAAATATGTTTGTTTTTTGAGGGGTTACCCCGACAGCGGATCCGACGCAAACCTTTACTGGAAGGATATTTTCCCTACGTAAACCACTATGGTCACACTTTGAGAGGGCCTTTGGCCAGCAGGGCTGGCTCACCTGTAGCAGGTGGATGGAAAGCAGCTTTCGAAAGTCGGGCAGGAGACTGGAAAGAGCGTTCACTGTCACACCAGTTTGTCAAAAGAAATTATGGTTCCACCCTCTTATGTGATCAATGTCGGGCTATTCAACCTCACAAGCGGACCCCTGAAAACTTATTGGAGCTGGTGTATGCCAATTTCCATCTGGATGCACCTTGGACGACAACAATTCGGGATCACAACACCTACTTGGACCAGACTCCATCATCCCAACAATCGCCATGGGTTAGCATACCTGGTTTTGACATTCGCCGGGTACGTTGGGATTCTGCACACACCATATTACTGGTTTGTGGCAAAGACATCGCTGCAAGTTTTTTGTTGGACGTAGCTACTCGCCTATTCCCATGGCAGGCATTTTTTTTGGAAATTCCCTGTTTCAAATATATGGTGCTCTTGAAAAGAAAATGTGAAATGACACTTGCATAACTATATGGTTATCAAGACGTCTTAACTTTTTTGGGGTAATCACCTTCAAAAAGGTTGATGTTGATTGGAAGGTCTTGTCAGCCCCTGGGCCCCCAGACATCTCAGGTTGAATTGCCGATCTTGCAGAACCTTCGCGCGAAGGGGATCAACAAGCTGGACACCATGCAGGAGGTGCTGATTCCAGAGCCAATGGGTAATCAACAGGACAAGGGCAACTTTGTTATGAATCGGATTGGAATGGGCTTCCGAAAATGGTGCAAGCTTCAGCGGATCGAAAAGCCACCAGCAACATGGTCTTTACACCTCATCAATCGAGGGGATAGCGATTCGAAAAACAGCTTTCCAGTTCTAGACTCCACCGTGAAGGCAGCACATACGAAGCCTATCCCCTTTTTTCCTATCTCATTTGGCAACAGAAATAGCAAGCCATTGTGGCTGTACCTTGGCATGGTGCCGAACTTTCGGGGATAATAGGAACCAATTTGCAAGATTTTTGGGCTATAGGCTCGACATGGTATAGCCCCAAAACATTCCAAACTATTGTCTTTTCTTGGCAACAGAACCATTTCCAAGGTAGTCAATGCAATCTGCGAGCTACTATGTTATGGGGTACCTGTGATTTTCTTTTCGTCACAGATCGCCCTGCATTGAGATTGGGAGACAACTTGCGGCAGCGAGGGCTGGATTCGGGCATGAAATCCCTTCTGGCCTATTCTTCTTTGTCCAAGCGGAATTTGGATGCAAACAGGATCAATTACAAGATTCGGCCCAAATGGTGCCCAGGAAAAAAGAATATGTGCTTTGAAATTCAGCATCTGTAGGTTCGCATCCGTCATTGTTGATTTTTCCGAGCAAAATATTGGGCAGATCTTCTATCTACGCTTTACAACTCGCCCCCCAAAACTTCCAGGGGACACCTTTGGTTATTTGGTTTTCAGTTTACAGCTGGACTGAGGCATTCGTATTGTCACCTGGTCCACCAATTGCAATATTCGGATGAAAATTTCAGAAATCATAAGACCTTGTCTGAAGAAGACATGCTAGGACATTTGACAAAGTTGGCATCTGCTTGCCACGGAGCACCAGTGGTTTCTAGCATTGCACTGGGACAACATAACCCGGGGTGCTGCCAACTGATTTGGATCTGAGCTTCCTGACTGGCAGCCAGAATTGGAGCTGCAGCGACCGGATGTGCCCAAAATGGCAGCGCTCTGAGCTGAAGGATTAAGTGGATGTGCATCCTAAATAGTAAGCGACTTATCAAAACCCATGGGCAGAATATCCCCCTGTTTAAAAAAATAAAGATACATACATACATACATACATGCATACATACATACATACATACATACAAACAAACAAACATACTGCGAATGGGATACAGGCCACAACACTCCCTGCATATCCCATATATCAATGCACAACTTTCTCCCATTACCAAGGGTCCGGTCATTAACAATCGACCGTCACCTTTGGCTCAAGACTGCCCGACAACAGCGTGAAAAGGAGCTCATGCCGAAACCGACTGGACCTCTGCCGTATTAGTTTGGACATTGATCATACAACAACAGGGATATATCGAGCGACAATCCTCGATTCACAGGTTATCAGATGTTATCAGCCGTAGGTCTCCTACGGAGCCTACGAGCGGGTAGCCGCGGACCTTACAGATGGCTGAACAGGACAGCAGTGATAACGCATTCTCCTTTGCTGGACATGCCGCCGCACCAGCTGCCGGCACGCAGTCGAATTCTTCACAGAGTATCGATACTGGTGGAAGCGAAACCTCAGAACTGAGACCGAGCTTACCCGGACGATCTCTGGTTGCTCCGAGGGGGAGACAAATACCGACAATGCAAGCAATTGAAGATAGGGACAGTACACCTGGAAAGAGAAGATCATCTGCCCGACAATTGTCGCCTCCGATGACTCCAAGGACTAAGGCGAAGCCTACGTCATCGAATCCGCCTTCACCGATTCAGGACGTTACACCATCAAGGGTGGGATCTTATCAACAAGTGAATGCCCCATCAAGTGGTAGCGACATCTTCACTGCCTATCAGAGCGAACTAGCAGAATACAAACA